TGAACCAGGTACATTTGGGAAGCAGCTGTCCTGGGAGCTCTACACCACGAAGGAACCACATCCTCAGCAGTGAGTGGCTTTCTGCTGCTAAAAGCCACTAACTAAAGGACCAAAGTGCAGCTGGATGGTGAAAAGAGAAAACTCCATGTGTCCACCAAGACCTGAGATGCCTGGATCAGCCAGGACAGGCATGAGGCTGTTTCTCATGGCCAGAAATCAAATCAGCACATCCACCTTGCAGCCCTGGGGAGCAGAGCAATAGATAAAGCCAAGCAATCTCAGCACTACCACACATTTACTGTCTACCACCAGGCATTTACTCCCTGATAATGCGGTGATTGGAAAAATCTACACCCCCCTTAGCCTGGAGATTGCTGCCTAATACAGAGCAGCAAAGTTCTCCCCATCCTTTTTTAGATCCCAGAATGGTCTGGGTTGATATGGACTTTAAAGATCATGTTCCAGCCCCCTGCAAAGGGAAGGAACCTTTCATAGACCAGGGTTCTCAGAGCCTCACCCAGCAATTTAGAAGATGCTGTTTTTACCCCTGCCATGAAATGCTCCATATCAAAATCCCAACTCCACTTGTTCAGATGTGCAAGTGGCTTTTAAAAAGGTGCCTAAGCACACACATCCAGGCAATTTAGCACCTCTCCCAGAAATTACCCACTGTAAACTTCAAGCATTAATATTTTCAGGAATGAGGAATAATTTTTGAACATCCTTCCCCAGCACACTCTATAAACTCCTGGAGCAGCTTGGCCAGATTGGTTGTGGACTCCCCATCCCTGGAAGTGTTCAAGACCAGGTTGGACAGGGCTCTGAGCAATCTGGTCTAGTGAAAGTTGTCCTGCCCAAGGCAGAGGGATGGGAAGAGATGAGTTTTAAGGTCCCTTCCAACTCAAACAATTCCAGGATTCTCTGAAACACGTTTCCCTTCTCCAAAGCCTCATCTCAGTGGGATTTGTCTTCACCACAGCCAGGAACCCCCACGCATGCCACCATCCCCATGGTCCTGCTTGAGTTAAAGCCACTCTGGAGGAAAGAAGCAGCTCCAAACCTCTGGCGGGGGAGGCTGGGGGAGTTTTCTGCAGTCTGAGCCGAGAAAACATTTCCAGGGCTTGAAAAACAACTCAAACTAATTACAGACAAAATGCTGTCCAAAGGCTTTTCTCACGACTTTGGGCTTCTTTTTCCCCTGCTAGCCAGAGTTTATTGAAAGACAAACTTGCTGATCCACAGTATGGATTGACACAGGCCCTATATGTAAACTAAAGCCCAAACTTTGGACCAAAGTCTTTCAAAGTAAACATCTGGCTTTGACAAAAAGCCCTTCCCGAGGGCGGTGCAGCCCCTCTGCCCCCACAGACAAACTCATCCTCCAGCATGACACCATTTCCACTGCCTCACCCTCACTCCTGTTTATTCCCTTTTTAAAAGTAAACCTAAATACTGCACGTTTTAACCTTTTTTCTGCTCTTCCCCAGCACGCAACCCTTACACCCCCCGCATGCCTCGGTTTCCACATCTGGCAAAGACCAGGGGAGGCAGGAATGCATTTTGTTTTCCTCATTAACAATGGAAAGGCCTTAATTTTTAGAGTACTACGGAGGGGACCGGGAAGGGGAAAGTATATTTAGCAGGAAGCCTGGAAATAGCAGCTCATTCGTCAGCCGCCTTCTCCTGACAGTGTCACAACTCTGAGTTTGGGAGCCCGTGACTCACATCCCACGATCTGCACAGGGGGAAAGCCCAGCAAGGACATGGAACCACTTCTAAAACAATGGTTTATAGCTTTATTGCATCACCCCAGGCATAAGACTGAGCCTCAGCTTCCCCACATTAGAGATTACAATAGCAGCCCCCATCTAATACAGAAACTTCTCCAAAATCAGCAAAGTCTTCCCCAAATCTGACCAGACACCGCTCACAGAAGCCACCCTTGATGGGACACAGGTTAAACCCAGCCTGGCCTTTGCTTCATTTTTCTGCAAAGCAGGGTGGAAAAAGATATGCAAAGTAATTTCTGCATGAGAATGGGAAGCACCTGTTTCGCACTTCTATACAGACTCACTAAAAATAGTTTTTTAAAAATAAAAAAGGGGAGTTTTTTCTTTCTGGGCTCCAACAGCCACATACAAGTGGCAAAATCCCTCTCTGGCACCAGGCAGCTGCACAACCAAGTGTGTTTTCGCAGCCTGAAGGCTTAGGGCTGGCTGGGAAATAAAAACCCTTTGTAGTGCCCAGCTCTTTTTGGGGAAACTCCCTCCAAACCTGGGGCTTCCCTCCCTGAGCAACACCATGATCCCCAAAAACACACACAACACTGGAACACCAATGAGCAGCCTCATGCCACCAAATCCCATCATGACCAGTACCTGCACCCTGCCACAGAGGAATTACCAGCTTGGTGAATCCATGTGGATGGGAAAGGTTGTGCACCCAAAAAGATGCTCAAGGTGTAGCTTATGCTGTGCTTGAGCAGTAGGAGATGTGTGGCAGTCCCCCAGCATCATCCCGAGCAGGGTGCTGGAGCAAGGAAGCAGTCAGCTCCTGAGGGATGCCTGGGAAAAGGTTAAAAATCTTATTTGTGTCTTCCCAAAAAAACCTTCCCTGCAGGAAGCAGCCTATTGTGAGCAGGATTCGGCCTTTTCCGCTGGGCCTGTGCTTGGCTGTGGCCACTGGCACCGGGGAAGGTGGAAGCCTGGCTGCAGGGTGGGAAGCAGGGATGAGAGAAGAAGGAGGGGAAGGGACAATGACAAGTCCTCCTCACCATGGCAAAGGATCGGAGCTGCCACCAAAACTCACCACAGAGGTGGCATGAACAGGCACGGATGGTCTGGAGGGCTGAGCAAGAGCAGAGGCTGATTTCCCCTCCAGGGGAAAAGAAAGCAGAAGGAATAAAGGTAATAATAAAATAAAAGTAAACTGAAATACTCACAAGGACCAAGAGCTGTCCCAAACCCCTTACCAAGGGATGATGCTGCCAGCCACAGGGAGCACTGGCATGGCAAGCACTGTCTCTCTGAGGTCTGCTGGGAGAGTAGCAAACTGCTGCCTTCAGCATCCAAGGGAGATTTAATTAAAATACATTAAAAAACCACACAAACACCACAAACTCCTCCCTGCTGCCACTTCCATGGGGAGAGGTTAATCAATTTTCAGAACTGCCCTCACAGCACCATATCAACCAAAAGCACCACAGCAGAAAGCCCAGGTACCACCTCTCCAGGACAGGACTCCCAATATGCAACAAACCCATCTGCAGGGAGAAACCCTGAGACAGAAATGCAACTTCAGCGGCATTTTCTTTTTAAAGTACAAATACGAAACTTGCAGCCCAACTTTGCAGCATTTGCATGTGGCTTTGGAATACAGCTGGCCCTCCTGGGTCGGTTTTGAAACTCTTAAATAAATATACATACATGCACAAGGACGTTGAAAAGGGTTCAGATGCTGTAAGAGACTCGTTCATTCAGTGAGTTCGCAGTAAAAAAAGAGGGGGATATTACAGCAAGGGGGTGTCAGCGGGGAGGAATTGAGGAAATGGATTTCCTCCTCCTGCGATTTGCTACCGAAAGAGCTTTTCCTCCCTCGCCAGGCCCCCCGGCCACCCCTTTCCCATCCGGATTTGCTTTGAAACGTGGCACTGGCGAAGGGGAGGGTTCAGCGGGGGAGGCGGGGGGGTCCCGGCCGGCGGTGCCGCTGACCAGGGCCCGGCGGAGCCGAGCGGAGCCGCACGGCGAGGGGAGAGCGGGCGGAGAGGGACGGAGCCGGAGCAGCGGGAGCGACAGAGCGGCGATCCCGGCACGGCGGGGGTGGGACAGCGGCCTTGGAGGGGTCTGCACCACCCCGGCACGGGGAAGGAATCCCGGGGATGCCTTCCCACGGCCCGCAGCACAGCGGTATGGCCGGGAAAGGCCGGGCAGCCGCCGGTGCTCGTCCCACGGCGCGGGGTCAGCGGGCTGCGGAGAAAACACCTGGAAAAGGGCTGCTGTTGAAGGAAAAAAAAGCGGAAAAAAAGAAAAAAAAAAAAACTTCCCATTTCCAAGAGCTGGGAATATCAAACAAGGCTTGGCTTCTCGCTTGATGCGCCCCGCAGTGCTTGGGACATCCCGGCAGCTGCGGTGGGTTTGGGGCAGGGGTTTTGACACCCCCCGTGCTCCCCCTGCCCAGCCAGGGACCCCCGGCAGAGCTGGAGCGGGGCAGAAGGATGTGCCACCCCTAAAGGCAGCAGCAGGCTGGGTCCCCGTGGGAATGTGGGGAACCTCTCCGGCCGTGGGTGAGCGATGGGGAATGAATGGGGCGGCACTCCGACCCCCGGACCGAGGGGCCCGCACCCCACAGCCCCCTCCCCGTACGGGATGGGGGCACCTGGCCCGGGTGGGGACCCTCCCGAGCTGGGACAGCCCCAGGGGGGGACACCCCATGCAGAGCAAGGGGGGTCACCTCGTCCACCGGGTGGGGACGCACGGACAGCCGGTCCCGGCGGGGGGAGATGGCGGGGGCGTCTCACCTCGAACATGAGGGCGATGAGGACGCTGAGCACCAGGCAGAAGCCGATGTCGGCGTGGTTGTGGATGAGGAACTCCTGGCTGAAGAGCGGGTGGCTCTTGGCCCGCCGGCGGAAGGCCATGGCCGGGGCCGAGCCGAGCCCAAACTTCCCCGGGCCCGCGGAACTTCGCGGAGCGCCGCGATGGCCCCGCGCAGGCGCCGCCGCCTGAGCCCTCCCCGCGCCCGCCCGGCTCCGCTCGGCCCCGGCAGCGACCCCGCCCCGGCCCGCGCTGGGAACGGGACCGGCACCGCCCCGGCCCGCACGGGGAACAGCACCGGCACCGGCACCGCCCCGGCCCACACGGGGAGCGGGACCGGCACCGCCCCGGCCCGCACGGGGAACGGGACCGGCATAGGCACCGCCCCGGCCCACACGGGGAACGGCACCGGCACCGCCCCGGCCCGCGTGGGGAACGGGACCGGCACCGCCCCGGCCCGCGCCGGGAACGGGACCGGGCCGGGCACCGCTACCGGCCCGGCCTGCACCAGGAACAGGACCAGACTCAGCGCCGCTCCGACCCACACCGGCACCGGTGCCACCCCGACCCTCATCGCACCGGGACCTGGCCACAGAACCGGACCCGCACCCAGTCACGGATCCGCACCCAAACCAAGACCCAGCACCCGGGTCCGACCGGACCTGGGCACGGACACGGACACTGACCCAGCCCCAGTACTGGCTCCGGACCTCACCCCAGCCCTGGACACGGCACCGGGACCGGCCCTGCCCGGGACCTGGACCCAGCACGCGATGGAAGGCTCGGATGTGGACCCAGACCGAGAGCCGAGACCTGGCACTGGGTATGGACACGGACCCTTCCCTGGACCAAGCCCCAGCCCTGGCCCTGGATCCAGCCCTGCTCCAGCTCAGCACAGCCCTGGACCTCGCAGTGAACTGGGGCCCAGGACCCAGCCCGGCACCAGACACAGAACCCAGTCCTGGTCACGGCTCCTGCTTGCCCCAAGCACTCCACAGCGGGTGGAGGCACACGCTGGTTTTGGCACCCACATCACATCTGCGCCGTGGTACTGTGCACATCTGGACAGCCACCCACGCTTGAACCCACCTGTTGTGTATGTGGGGATGCCCACCTGCATCTGCACCCACCAACTTTCTGTGCAGGCAGCCTCCCACCTCTGCACCCACATCTGCACCCACCTACCCTGCACATCTGGGCTCCCATGCAGCCAGCACCCACTTGTGTCCCAGCACCCATCCCCCTGTGCACACCCTGCAACCCTGACACCTCGCTCTGCATCCCAACGTGCTGAACCCCAAATCTCCCTCATTAACCAGGAAAGGCCTGAGGCATAGGGTGCCTTACCTATCCCACCCCCTTCCCAAAACAACACCCCAGCTCAATCTGGGGGTGTAGCAGTGGGGGCAGAGACAATCTGAACAGGTCTCCAGGGCAAAACAGTGGAACATTTGCTGTTATTTATTGAAGTCAATCCCTAAAATCCCCCTAAAGCTCCTCAGGGAGCTCCAAGGACATGAGGGGAGTGGGCAGGGCCCTTTGGTGGCTTTGCTTAGGAAAATCAAGGTATAAGCACTGTTTTGGTTTGAAAGATCTCCCTTCAAGTAAAACATGGATCTTTTTGCTTCCAGGGTCCTGTTCAGCTCCTCCAGCATCTCTGGATCCCCATGGATCCCTCAGAAATCTGTTGTGTCCAGTGAGGATGGATTCACAGGAGGGAGAAAACACTGCTCCAGCACATTTGAGAGAACTGAGGCATCTCAGACCTGGTGTTGAGAGCACAAAGCATTTTCTTCCAGCCAAATCCAGCTAGGGAAACAGAGTCCCTGGTTTCTCATTAAGCACTCAGTCCTATTAGGCAAGTCCTGATTAGCTGGGCTTACCCTCTGTTCCCCCGCTCTGTGGTATTGTTTAGCCTTGGAGCCATGGGCACAGAGCTGCAGCCTGGGCCCTGCCTTTTACAGGAACACTGAAGGCACCAGAAAGGGATTTGCAGCAAACCAAATTTAATTAAAGGGGGAAAAAATATCCCAAGTTTCAGCTTGGAAAAAAACAGACAAATAACAACAGCCCCAGGGCAGATAAGTCTTTTTCTGCAAGGTCCAAGTATTGTGTTTCAATGTTGGAAGTGAAAAGATGTTTTTTCCGGGGAAATCTTTCTTGATGTGGAGGGGTGGGGAGTGGGGTGGTGTTACATCATTTTGGAGCTGGAGAGAATGTTTTTCACCCAGTCCAAAACCTGGCACCCATGGACAGTGCTCAGAAATAGGGCTGCTGGAAGGTGAGATCTCAGCAGCAGCCCTGCCCCACACTCAAGCCCTCAAGCACTCAAGTTGGTACAACTCCATCCTGCTTTATTTTATTTCACCTTGAAAGAGGGACAAGAGTGACAAGCCAAGGGGACAGTGCCAGTGGTCAGGACAGCCACGTTCCCAAGCCCAGGAACATTGTTTAATTTCTTGGGGACGTAGCCTCTGTTCCTACCTGTTTGCTCCTTTTTCCAGATCACCAGGGTGGCACAGCCAGTTCTTCTGGGGAGCCCTTGGGTCACTCCCTGCATTGTGGCACTCCCAAGCAAAATTCATGCTTGGTTCCTGCTCCAATGTTGCCCTTCAGAGCTCCTCTCACCTGTGGCACTGAGCTCTCCTGGGCTGGGGCATGACCCTCCACCTCTCTAAAATGATGGAGAGGGTTTCCTTAAGAAACAAAATGGAAAGGAAAAGGTTCACAGGAGGCAAATGAGAAGAAATTTTCTATTCCAGAGCAAAAGCACTGGACAATCTGTCCAAGCGCAGTGGGATGGAGATACCCCCTTACTCCAGCCCAAACATTGCTGATGAGCACCACCAAAAGCTGGGCAGATCCTGGTCTAGCTCAGGATCATTCCTCATCCAAAAACAGCTTCATGGGAGATGCTGCAGAAGGAGCAGAGGATCTGCCCGGGTCTTCTCAGGCTTTTGGGATATTTGGAAGATAACATCAGCAGTTGCCTGGAGCAGTTGGTCTATTGCCCCTCTGCCAGCTGCAGTTTTCCATCCTGGGTTTGGACTGGCCCAGGCCTCCATGTTGCTTCACACAGAGCAGTGACCTGGGATTTGTGCACCCCAAGGGTTGATCTGAGGACAGACCAGAGTGTGGAGTGACCAGGTTACCCACCTGGGCACAGCTCCAAGGATACAGCACCAAAATCAGGATGCAGCACCATGGTGGTGACAGCTGGAGCCACTCCTACCAAACCCCCAGGGTCCCATTGTGCATCCAGTGTGATCTGGGGTTTATCCCCTTGCACACACACCTTTGAGCAAGAAGGCACCATGAAAGATTTACAGGTCAATGACTCTTCTCCTGAAGAGGGCAAGACCCTGACAGTGATTTTCAAACATTCCCCATGGCCCAGTGATGCCTGGGAAGTAAAAGGAGATGCCCACAGCCAGGAGATTCCTCCAGGCACTCGCTGTGCACTCCACCTCCAGTGTTCCAGAGCTCCCCATTTCATTCCCACTGGCTCCCAGTGCAATGCCACAGCAGCACCAGTCCTGCACCTCCCTCTCCTCTCCAGTCATCATCCCTGGAGGGATTCAAAAGCTGTGTGATGTGGCACGTGGGGACATGGGTTAGTGGTAGCCTTGGCAGCGCTGGGGAATGGTTGGACTGGATGAGCTCAGAGCTTTTCCAACCTTAATGATTCCATAACACAGGCCTACTGGAGGTATGTCTGGAGCCTGAGCAGCATCTCCCTCTGGTGGCAAAGGGACAAGGCATTTTGGGGAGAAACTCCTCCCCAGCGTGATTTTCCCGGTATGGCAGCATTGGGAAAAATCTGGAGGTGCACCAGGTCATTGGGCCACAGAAGACAGGAAGGGTGGGGAAGGGTGTCTGAAGCTGTGATTTGCTGCTGGAGTCCTCCTACTTCAAACAGGGCTTTAGAATTCACTAAATAGGTTTAGATGGGATATAGGGAAGAGATCCTTCCCTGTAAGGGTGGGGAAGCCCTGGCACGGGGTTCCCAGAGAAGCTGTGGTTGTCCCATCCCTGGAAGTGGCCCAGGCCAGGTTGGATGGGGCCTGGAGCAACCTGGATTGGTGGGAGGTGTCCCTGCCCATGGCAGTGGATTAGAATGAGATGACTTTTAAGGTCCCTTTCCACCCAACCCATTCTGGGATTCCCTGATTAAATACAGGTTATTTCTACAGGCAGAGACCTGTGGCTCAGTGCTGGGACTGTACCAGCATGCAGGACTTGGACCCTGGGTGCAACAGGGCTCTCACACAGGCTGGAAGCCTTTAAGGACAGACAATCCATGTTATCCCACCTGATTTCACATTGCTCCCAAGGAGAAGGTGAAGAGGAGCACGGCTCACCAGTGACCAACTCTCATCATCAGGGAGCAAAGCCGGGGGAACACAGCCCTCACACAAACACCCTCATCCCTACCCCAGTCCTCGTGCACCCTCTGTCCCCAGATTCCCCCCTTGATCTATCCAGGATTTCCACAACTGAGGTCAGAAGTATCAGCTCACGGTGCACTTCTGCACTGTGGATGTGCTCTGAGAAATCAAAGTCCATGTTTACACCTGACTCCTGTGCACAAAAGTATTCTTTACTTTCTCAAAATTGTCTGTTTCTCTTCTGATTGGCTTGTGTGAGTTCAATGAATGAAACTTTTTCTGAATCTTTTTCTAACACTCAGCCTTAACCTTCCCTCACACATTTTCATGCCATTCCCCTAGATCCTGTTGCCCAGGCCCCTTCTTCACCCTCCCACTGGAAATCCTGACAGACAACTCATCCTGGGGCTGCAAGAACCAAGAATGGGAAGAGAGACCCCCTCCACACTTATTTTCACCCCCAACATGAGACACAGACACAGCAAAGGCTGATTTGGGGTGTTTTCAGGTATAATTATATATTATCAAAAGTAGAAAACCAAGCTAGATAAAAATTCCTGCAACAGCCTGGCAGCACTGCTGCCTTCTATGTGATCCACACAATGAGAAGGGCTCTGGAAAAGCCACAGGAACTGCTCCTGCCTGCAGAGCACAGGCACAGCACAGGGGGCTGGGGTCCAGATGGAGACAGGGAGCCTTCATCCCCTTGGAATGTGGCTTCACTTCACACTCAGCACCAACTGGGTTTTCTGTGCCCCAAGGGAACATCTGCCCTGAGCAGTGAATGCATCATGGAAGCTTTTTTAAATAATTCATCACATGCCTGTGCCCTCCCTGCTGCCTTCCCTGCCCTGTGGCAGCAGCAGAGTCCTGCCCACAGCAGGACAACAGCTGGAGAGCACAGCCAGATGTGCTCCAGCTGGCACTCAGGAGCTTGGTGGTTAATCCAGCTGATCACACCTCAACTAACATGTTGAGCCATGTCCTGGGCAGAAACCTGTGCCCTGGGCACAAATCCATGCTCAGCCAGCCTGGTGGGAAGCACTGGCTATTTGAGACTGTGGTGTTGATGGTTTTAGTTCCTGACACAAATAAACCCTGCCTGCACTGGTGGTGTGGAACTGGTTTGAGATTTGGCCTGAGGCCAAGTTTAGGAGGGAGCATCCAGGCAGATGTGGATTCTAACCTGGTAGCCTGGTCCGTGGAAGGTGTTCCTGCATCTGGCAGGGATTGCAACTGGACGAGCTTTAAGGTCCCTTCCAACCCAAATAATTCTGGGGTCCTGTGATCTTCCGCTGGAAGGGGACAAGGAGGAAGCTGGATAGAAAAGACCACTAGAGGCAAGACAGTGGGCAAGCAGCAGGACATGGCTTTTGGTTGTAATTCCAGGTTCTGAGGAGCAGGAAGAGAATCTGCAATCCTGTGTGACCCCCAACACTGAAGTTGTTGGGGTCACAAGATAAACCTGGTAGGGAAAAACAATCAAGCAAAGCTGAACCTTACTTGAGGCCTTACTCTGCCCAGAAGGAAGGACATCTGAGAGTAAAACCCATCCTTTTTCTGGTTTAGGCACTTATTTGTCCTGAGAAAACTGCTTTGGCCAGCACTGCAGCCCCTGGAGACAGCAACCAGATCTCCACACTGGGACAGGCCAGCAGCTTGTGCAGGCACTGGTTTAAGGACACACCTCAAGTCACTGTCACAAATACACCAGAGGCAGAAGGCTCCAGCTGCCTGGCAGGTCTGTGACATAAATCAGCTTAATAAATAACCAGCCCTGGACTTTTAGGGCTTTTTAAGGCTTTTGAAGTTCTTCAAGACTGCCACTAGATGTATTGGGAGGGAAGGTGATGTCCCAGTGATGGAGGAGTGCATCTGGCCCATGACATGGGCACTGTGGGGACAGTCTTCGTCCCACCACCTCCTGCCATGCCCTGCTGATGAGACAGTCACCCCAAGGCTGACCCAAGGTGACAGTACAGCCATTTACAGGGTCACTCTGGTAACCCAGACAGGTCTGTCCCCTCTCCCAGCTCCCCCAGTCCTCGCTGGGAGCATTTAGAGCCAGCCTTGGGGGTAGAGGTGAAGCACGGTGACCTCAGCTTGCTCCTCACCACAGTCCCCTGTGGGCCACAAGGGTGGGTGTCCCAAAGGTGATGGCACCCCACAAGGGCACCCTCTGTCCCTGTGGGCTCTGAGCCCTCTTTGGGGAGACCTGCCACCCCACAGCTGCTTGTGTTGCTGAAGGAAGCGCTTCTCTGCAGACACTTGTGGGCACAAGCACCCAGGATTGGGCTGATGCTGGTCATCCCAAGGGATAAATCCCCTCCTCTTCCTCCTCCTCCTCCTCCCAGGCAGCCTGGGGGAGGCTGAGCTTTGCTGTCCCTTTGCACCAGGGCCATGCTTGTGGCTGTGGCTGTCCCTGTCCCAGGCGAGGCGATGCCTCCTGCACTGGCACTGAAATACACAGAGGAGCTCTCGGTCGAATCCGGGGAGAAGCCACCGGGGTGGGATGTGGATGGGGGAAAATCAGGTTCCTGCCCTGCTCCATCCTCCTGTGCCATTCCCAGAGCACCAGCGCTGGCTTTGATGCCTCCTCCATTCCCCACTGCCAGTCCAGAGGGATGGATGTCCCTCATAGGGAGGGAAAAGTTTGCTCCAGGCTCAACACCAGGGGGTTTCCCCATCATCCATCCTCCAGGAAAAGCCTCTCCCACGCCACCATCTCCAAAAGCTGCGTTGATCACAGACAGATTTCCCGTCTTCAAGGCCAGCTTCACCAGCAGCCAGTGGTGATGGTCTGTCCAGCTGTCCTCCAAACACCCTTTGGACTGCAGCAGCGATGAGCTGGTCTCATTTTTGGGCTCTGTCTTGGTCCCTTCTGCTGGCAAGGACTCCTCATCTCCCAAAGTCCCTGAACTCTGCCCAGCTTGGGAGCTCTCTCCAGACTCCTCCTCATCCCCAGCTGCTGCAGCACTGCACATTGTCTGCAGGAACCCCTGCCAGATCTCTGTGGACTTGGGATGGAGCAGGCTGTAGTAAATCACCAGAGCTGTGGCACCTGGAAAGAAGCAGAAAAGTGTCACTGTGGAGTCCCAGCAGCATTTTGGTCAGATGTGGAGAACAGGCCAGACCTTGAGGCACCTCCAGATCAATAAGACCTTTACAAAGATGCTGCTGAGAATCAGGTGTATGAGCAGCACATCTTTCCAGCATTTACAGGGATGCAAAAATCCCAGTTGTGCAGATTTTGGCAAAGGAAGTACACACTCAACCCCAAATTTAATCTGGATTAATTTGCAGACTGTAAGTTTCCCAGCAGGGAGATGTGTGATGAAAGAAACCTTCTATGTCACAGCATACCCATCCTCTGGCCTTTAAACCAGCAAGTTTTTAAGACAGCTTCCTACTTATACCCTAACCTCATCCAGGACCACAGGAATTGCTCATTTTCCATCCCATTTCTTTAACATGATTGATCTGAGGGTCTGAGGAGTTGCACAACTTCCCTCTGCCCCATCCCTCTGGGAAAATATGACCCTGCTTGGCACAAGGATGCTCCAAGGGCTGGATCCCCTCTACTCTGGAGCCAGGCTGGGAGAGCTGGGAGTGCTCACCTGGAGAAGAGAAGGATCCAGAGAGACCTCAGAGCCCCTTCAGGGCCTAAAGGGGTTCCAGAAGAGCTGGAAAGGGACTTGGGACAGAAGTCTGGATGCTCATTTCCTGAAACTCCTCTCAAAATGTGCAATCCAGGCTCTAAAATCAATGTTCTTACCTATTAAAGACCCTGACATGACAGCTCCAGTCACAGTCAGGCTGTTCCTCAGCTCTACCTGCAGGAACCGGGTGCCCAACAGCAGCAGGAGCGTGTTCTCCATCATCATTATCTGCAAGACAGAGGGAAGAGAGTCATCACTCATATCTTTCTGATGGCTTTTGATGTGCCTCATAACAGAAAACACCCATTTTCTAGATTTTCATAGATTCTTAGACTCACAGAATGGTTTGGGTCAGAAGGGACCTCAAAGCTCATCTTATTGCACTCCCTGCCATGAGCAGGGACACCTTCCACTACTCCAGGTTGCTTCAAGCCCCATCCAATCTTGCCTTGAGCACTTCTCCTGTTAATATTTTGCACCTAATTTATCACTTAAAAACATACAAGTTGTCAAACTGAACTTTCTGCAAGGTCTTCACCTATTTTTTACCACTGACATTGTAAGGCTGCCTCTAAGGAACCAAAACCCATGCAGAAGGCACATCTGCCTTGGTGACCACGTGGCTTTGTTAGGACACAGTAAAACTGCATTTTGAGCTGCATTTTGAGCAAATAATGATGTGAGGATAAAAATGGAGAGTCTGAAGCTGTTGCTTGTCTCCAGCAGCTGCGTCTATGTGGAACACAAACATTCCAGGTACTCACTGCATAAAATACGGCCACCCTGGTCTTGGAGGGGCCGGGCCGGACGTTGATGTAGCAGAAGATGTACACAGCTCCCAGCAGGCAGTTGAAGAGCCTCCAGCGGCACGGCTGGGCCACGATATCCGTCTGCTGGGCCCCCAGCCAGAAGGACATGAGCAGCCAGTGGGCCCCTGCAGGGAGAAGGGGCTGGATTTGCAAAGCCATTCCTGGGGGAGGCTGCAAACAGTCCCAGCGGCAGGAGCATCACAGGGCTGACATTGGGGTGGCATGTGGGGAACAGGATCTCAGGTCTTACCTGCCACAGCAAAAACCCAGAAGGAATAAAGCCTGGCAAAGAGCACCAGGGCCAGGACCCGGGTCCCCAGCATCCCTGTCCTCCAGAGCAGCAGGCACAGGATGACAGCAGCTGGGGGGCTCAGGTGTCCAGGCTTCAGCAGGAAGGTGAAGTGGCTGTAGGAGACCAAAGCCCAGGCCAGGGACAGCAGGGACAGCCCTGCACTGACACCTGTAGGGGGACAGGGGCAGTCAGGGCTCTGATGGAGGCCCCAGTGCACAGCAGGACCAGCTCTCTGTGTTAAGGAGGTGTTGGTAGCACGGCGCCCCCATACAAGCCAGACACCCCTTGATCCTGCCAAGTGAATCATGGAATCAAGGAATCACAGAAGGGACCTTAAAGGCCATCTAGTCCAGTCCCTTACAATGAGCAGGGACCCCTTCCACCAGACCAGGTTTCTCAGAGCCCTGTCCAAAATGACTTGAATGTAACCAGGGATGAAACTGGAGCATTTCAACTAAATCCTGCTAAATCTGGTCTCTGCATGCTCGGCATCTCCCTGTGGATACCCTGTGAATATCCAGAGTACCCTCTATCTCCCTGTGGATATATTCTGAATATCCAGAGTACCCTCTATCTCCCTGTGGATACCCTCTGAATATCCAGAGTACCCTCTATCTCTCTGTGGATACCCTGTGAATATCCAGAGTACCCTCTATCTCCCTGTGGATACCCTCTGAATATCCAGAGTACCCTCTATCTCCCTGTGGATATACTCTGAATATCCAGGGTACTCTCTATCTCCCTGTGGGTACCCTGTGAATATCCAGAGTACCCTCTATCTCCCTGTGGATACCCTCTGAGTGCTGTCTCCAGGGCAGCTCCACCCTGGTCACTGACAGCAGACCAGAGATGGACAATGAGCGAGTGTGACCTTGCACATGCCGTGACTCCACACCACAACCTCCCTCTTTGCACACCTGAAAGTTCACCTTTGGGGCAAAGCAGCACCTTTGCATTCAGCCACAGCAGATCCTTCAGCCACACTTGTCCCTGCTGCTTCACATTGATGCTTCCCAGTCCCTCTGCAGCACATCCCTCCATCTGGAGAGCACACACATCCCTCCCCAAACGCATCTCCCCTGAACCATCCTCCTGGAAACTCACCAGGGATGAATCCTGCTGGGTCCACAGCCACCACGACATAGGCCTGGAGCAGAAGGTGAGGCAGGGTCTGCAGCAGGGCCTCCAGGAGCCGCAGCACACAAACATCCCCGAGCTGAGCCAGCAGCTCCCCGGCACCGCCGCCCGTCTTCGCCGCCGCCCGCAGAACATCCCAGTACCTGCAAGAGCCACCGTGAGGGATGCCCATCCCGGCTGGAGGAAGTTTGGGGCTGCACCCGGGTTGTGGGGCTTGGGGGGATGGCAGGGGGTGTCTCTCACCGCTTCCAGAGGCCCAGCTGCAGGAGGTGGAGCAGCAGGAGCCAGCAGCCGGGTGCGTGTCCGTCTGCCCGGAACCAGAGGATGCTGAGGAGCTGGGCGGCGTAGCCGGGCACCAGGCAGGCGATGGTCAGCCCGAACCAGCCCAGCTGCCCACGGACAAGGTAGTGGATGATGGCACAAAGCCCTGGAGAAGGGCAGAGAGCCGGTGCTGAGGGATGACACAGCCACACCCCCCCAGCAACTGAGCGGTGCCATTCATAACCAGAGAATCCCAGAACGGTTTGGGTGGGAAGGGACCATAAAGCTCCTCTCATTCCACCCCCTGCCACCTTCCACTGATCCAGGTGGTTCCAAACCCTGTCCAGCCTGGCCTGGGACACTTCCAGGGATCCAGGGGCAGCCACAGCTTCTCTGGGCAGCCTGTGTTAGGGTCTCCCCACCCTCATAGTGAAGAATTTCCTCCTAATATCCAATGTAAACCTGCTCTCTGTCAGTTTAAAGCCATTCCCGCCAGAAATTCATAAGCCCAGGGCTTATCTCCAGCTGCCGGCTCCCGGTGGCTTTGTCAGCTGAGGCACAGCCACCGCCACCGAGGGGCCCAGCCCGATAAAAAGCTCGGGCTCCAAAACAAACAAATAAATAAATAAGTGGGGGGGGGGGAAAAATTCAATTATTCAAATATGAAAACAAAATCCAAGAGGACTGCTGGGCCCGCGGGGATGCCGGGAGCAGAACCACGCATCTCCCCAAGCGCGGGGCGCAGGGATGATCCCCCCTCCCCGGTACACGGAGGTGATTCGGGACCCCGGGATGGCCGCAAAAGAGTCACTGCCAGCATCCCATCCGCCTTCCCCCTCCCCTCCGCCGGAGCGCAGCCCCGCACGCCCCTGCGCATCCTTTGTGCATCCTGCGCGCATCCTGCGCGCTCACTCACGGGCGCCGCTCTCCGCCGCCAGCAGCGTCAGGCTGAGCCTGGGGACGGCCCCGCGCATCCTGGGAGCAGCACGGGAGGAGGAGGAGGTGGGAGGAAAGGGAGGAGAAGGAGGAGGAGGAGGAGGAGGAAGAAGGAGCAGCCGGGGCCGGTCCCGCTCCGCCTCACCGGGCACCTCCCCCAGTGTCCCCTCCCCGGGCTTGGTGACATCACGGTGCTTGCGTCACCCCCGGGGGCTTGGGGACAGACACGGAGCCCGACCAGCCCATCCCGTATCCCCCAAATTGTGGTGCAGCGGCACGAGCCCATCCTGATGTCCCCTGGGCTCTTCCCATTGCTCCCTGTGCTGTTGTGCGCTGGCACAAGCCCACCCTGATGTGCCCCAAAATGTCGTGCCCCCCGATGTGCCCCGTGAGGTGCCCGCGGGGTGGCAGCTGCGACACGGTGTGTGCAGGGCCATCCGTCACTCCCGTTGTCTTCCCGCTTTGGCACAGAGATAAAACCCTCGTGAAATGGGATCCCGGCATCGCAGGCTGCAGGGGCCCTCTGGTGTGCATTTGCTTTTTATCCCAATTTCCAGCCCTGCAGCCTCCAGTTCGCATACCTTCTAGAAAATAAATCCCCAGCAGGTTGCTACAGGAAAAAACACAAAGAGGAGTTTAATTAAGGCAAAATATCACCTCTGGTTTTGGTGGTTTTTGCAATATGCTGCAGGAAGCTCCCAAAATTTTGTACATCATCTGGGCTGTTGGATGTACCTGTGTTCTGGGACTTGCACACATTTATTGTTGTTTTTTTTTATATTATTAATATTATTTTATTGAGTTGTTGTTTTTTTTTTTTTTTTTTTTTCAGCTCTGCCAATAAAGCCCAGGCTCTGCTGTGTAGCAGTAGCAGCCACCAAACTGCTTAGAAATGTCCTTGCCTGGGTTTCCTACTCGTGGGAGCATCCCCAGGCTCTCTGTGGGTCTCCAGCACTGCTTTTTACCAGGAACTTGGCATCTCTGCAGCCTCAAATCCATCTGATTGGGTTTGGGGACTTTCTGGGTGTAAAGGACAACACATTTTTCCTCCTGTCCCACTGCCCTGCTGGTATTTGTGTTTTATTAATTAATGATGTTGGGCTGCCGGGCCCAGCTCCAGTGAAGCATTTTAATAAAGTCAGGGGTGTAATTGGGGCTCTGCAGCCAAGTGAAGCTCAGCCTTGGCTGCCTCTGTCCTCCACAGCAGCAAGTACCACGTGGCCCATTCCTAGAAAACCCAATTTTTTAGCATACAAAGCTCAACTCAGCCTCTAATGGGCACCAAAGCTTCTTCCAGACCTGAGAGTGGGATGGGGAAGAACCATTTTTGCACCTTCAGCAGTGAGGATGCTGCCAGGGTCCATGCAGGCACAACGGGACCCTTCTTGTCACCCACAGAAGACATGTGAACTTCATCATCTCATCCCCCCTGCCCTCCACCACCATCATTCCCACCCTGAGGCGTCTCAGCTGTCTTTCCTCAGTCTCTCCTCCTGTGTTCCAAACCAGGAATAAATCCTGTGCCATCATCAGCCCGGAACTTTGCCAGGCAGAGAAGGAGAAAGCCAGAAGGCCTTCCAGAAGATATTCCCAGAGCTAGCCACCCTCCCCAGTTTCTCTGCCAGCTCCCAGTTGCTCTGGCTGCCTCCCAGCCACTGGTTTGGCTGCACTTTTCTCTGCTGGATTTCAGCACCCAGGAGATTCTTTTGCTAAAAAAACTTCTCATGTCTCCAAGAAAGCGACATCCTGGAGAAGAGAAGGATCCAGGGAGACCTCAGAGCCTCTTCCAGGGCCGAAAGGGAGAGCTGGAGAAGGATTTGGGACAAGGGGTGGAGGGACAGGACACAGGGAATGGCTTCCCACTGGCAGACAGCAGGAATAGATGGAAATTTGGGAAGGAATTGTTCCTTGTGAAGGTGGGCAGACCCTGGCACAGGGTGCCCAGAGAAGCTGTGGCTGCCCCTGGATCCCTGGAAGTGTCCAAGGCCACGTTGGACTGGGCTTGGAGCAATCTGATCTGGTGGAAACTGTCCCTGGCCACGGCTCCAGCCCTTGGAGCATCTCCATGGCCTCCTCTGGACTCACTCCAGCAGCTCCAAGTCTTTCTTGTGTTGGAGACCCAACATCTGGACTTGGTGCTCCAGGAGAGCTGCCCACAGGTGACATCACACAGACCCAGCTGTTCCTCAGGTGCTGAGCCATTTTTCAGCCCAGATGTTTGGCTGCACATCTGTCTGCAAACACCTCACAACACCTCAGGGAAGGGTTTCAGCAACAGCCCTGCCCCTAAAGGGCCAGGGGATCAGGGCAGGTCCTTCCCTTCCTGAGGTGATGCAGCAGAGCAGATCTGACAGGTGCCTGTGGATGATGCCAGACAATGCAGACATTAGATTTTTCCTCTGTAAAATGTACATTTTTCTTGCTGCACAATGGTGATTCTTAGAACAGCTGGTCCTGGCATCCACAAGAACATTTGCCTTTCTGGATTAGGTGCAAAGGACCCAATTCCAAAGCTGTTTGTGGGAGCTGCTCTGTAAAAGTGACCGCAGCACAATTATGTGTAACCACGCTGTGGGTAGTTCAACGTGCGAGTATTTGATCTCAAAAAAAAAAAAAAAAAAAGCAAAAGTGAGGAAAGAAAAGCACCTAAAGGAGCAACCCAGAGAAACAAAAACCTGCGGGCAGCCTGAAAGCTGCTGAAAAGGGCGTGCTGGAAGCCTCAGCGAAATAGTTGCTTTGATTGAGAAAGAAAACAAAGAGATCTAAGAAAAATCCCTGCAGGGCACGAAGGGCGAGCCCAGGGAGGCTCTCGAAGGGATGAGCTCAGCCGGAGGAGAGCGGCAACTCCCACGGAATGGGGCCGGCCGGATTCAGTAGGAAAGAGGGATAAAAGAAGTGAAGAACCCTTTGCAACAGGCACATGAATTAGTATAAATGTCTACATTTCTACAAATTTTCTGTAAAAAGCAGGAAGCCATCGGTAGAATCCTTGGTGAGAAAGGAGGATGCTGTGCTCAGAGAATTCTTCTGTCCATGGAAAGAGAGATAATAAAACTAAAATCGCTGGGATAATGATGATAATACAACTAAAATGGGCTGTAATAATTTCCATAAATGATATGGCATAAAATATCTTACGTATCATGCAGGTAACCTAGTAAGGTAAATATTTTGGTGCAAAAATTTGAAAAAAACCCAAACCACATTTTCTTTTTTTTTTCTTAATTCTTAGCTTTCTCTTTTCCTCTTTCACTTTTCCCCCTACCATTCCCTAGTGCAGATCTTTTTCATGTTCTTAATTGACCAGATTTTCCCTTCCAACAGCAGTAATGATGCAAAATTAATGACAACCCACTAACCCTCTTCCTGAATTTGCAAAGAAAAGCTAACTTCCCATTTAACATAGGTTTGGTGGGTTTTATTTTAACATTCCAGCTGATGATTATTTTACTTCTATGATGATATATTGTTCATGTTTGTAAGGAAATATAAAACCTCTGAAAACAGATGGAAACAGAGACCTTGAGTGAGCTGCTGTGGCCAAAGGGTTGCTCAAAGGGAGGAGGCCCAGGGTGGTTTTTCTCATCTCGACACATTTCCCGAGGCGATGCTGCAATGGTTTGAAAGCCAGACCTTGGTTCCTCTTAGAACAACAGCAAAGAGGATTCATTGGGTGTCCCCAGAGCTCCCCAAAGCCTCATTGGTCACCAGAAGGCTGTGGAGGTCAAACATCCCTCACCACCTCCCAGAAACAGCACAAACCCACGCTCTGCTCCTTCATCTTCATCTGGGCAGACATTGATCCTGGGATTTTCCAGCCTAGAGCTCCTCCTTCCTGGTAACAACCGAAATATTCTCATTACTCAGCCTCCCTCAAAAGGTTTTGTCCGTCTTAAATGGGCTGGAGACTTCATATCTTTCATCTTTATCTGCATTTTGTTTTATAGCCTTAATTGTGCAGTGACACCAGTCTGTCATGAGCCAGTTCCAGAGGTGCCAAATGTTGATAAGGGAGAGGAGTTTTTGTCGGCTGCAGGAAATGCAAATACTCAAAAATGTATCGTGGATATAATGTAATTATTGAGGGAAAGAATAAACAACAGCCTCCAAGCAAGAATAAGGAGAAGCTGGCTTTTGAGTTAAAAAATTGCTTTTTCTGATTTTTTTTTTTTTAAGTAGAAAAGCTTGAGAAAACCATGGGGTTGTTTTGTATAAATCTAGCAAAAATTGTCTTATTTTCTGAATGAACAGCTTTGCCTTCCATAAGGCAAATCAAATTTATTGCAATGCATCGCAAGTTATTGAGGAATCCAGGATAAATTGCTGGTCACTTGATGCATTAATTAAATGAGACATAAAAATTGATTTTTTTGCATGGAAGTTGTTTTTTATGCTATGATCCTATGTGTGCTCCAGAAAAATCTTAGGACAATAGACATGATCGTGACAAAAATGTGTAACAACCTCTTTTAGGTAATTTCCAGGTCTTGAAGAACATTTCTCTGTACCACTTCTGGGACTATGGAGGGACACGGCTCTAACCAATGTCCTGGTCTCCTTTCTCTGCAGTGACCCGAGATCCCAGCCCACCCTCTGCCATGAAAATCCTTCCTTTTCTCCTTGTTCTCCTCTTGGTGGCATTTCAGGGAGCTGCAGGTAAGGTGAGGGACTCAAGAGAAGATGTTGGTTTCTAGCAAAGGTCTCCTGTCCCCTTTGGGATGCGACCAAGATGCCTCCTGCAAAGAATCCTCACATAAATCATCAAAACTCAATAGAGATTACAGATGAGAAATTAAATTAGCAGGCAAATACTCTAAGCATCACTTTGAAAGGAGCAACCCCAAAATTACCATTCAGCATCAGTGTTTTCTCTGTTAAACCCTGCAGGCTTCTGCTTAAATCACTTTGAGTCACCCAACAAAGAAATTAAATCATGATCAGGTATTCTTAAACCACACAGGAAAAAAAAGAAAAAGGAATCTGGCCCCATATTCTTCAAATATCCTTTGCTTTAGGAGCTGGACATAAGGTGGAGAAGCACAAAATCATGATGTCTGTTGGGGGGTGCAAAGGAGTCTGGAACCCCAAACCAACTCTATTGTCCAGAAAAAGGGATTGTATTTTAATATCAGCCCTGAAAATGGCACAGTTACATTTGCAGGGTGCTCTGTGCACAAGCAAGGGTTGGTGGAGTTTGGATCTCTGGGAACAGGGTGAAAAGTATCCTCTGGGGAAGTAAGGCTGGGAAAAGACTGTGATGAACTGCAGCAGACCAGAAATGTGGAAAAAGTATCATATATATATATATCTATAGATAGATGGATAGATAGATAGATAGATAGATAGATAGATAGATAGATAGATAGATAGATAGATAGATAGATCGATCCCTGGAGGGATTTAAAGGCCATCTGTGTGGCACCTGGGGACATGGATTGGTGGGTTTGGCAGAGCTGGGTTAACCATTGGACTTGATGATCTTAAAGGTATTTTCCAAACTAAAGGAGTCTGTGATTCTATGATTTTCTGTGGTTGTCTGGTGTTTTTCTTACCTGGGCCTCTGCCTCTGCCAGTTCTCAGAGGCAGGACACTGGGCAAAGAGCTCATTTGGTCTGTTTTATGTCCTTGTTTAATACACAGGGGATGTTTGGCCTGTTTTCAGTAGGACCTTCTGGGTATATTAAAGCCAGAAATTTATCTGTATCTGGGAAGAAAAGTGTTCCTGTGAGCTCAGACTGCTCACAGCCACCTCTGCAGTGCCCCACAGACTGCTAGTTTGAGACCAGGAGTGTTTTTTCACCCTTTAAAGCACTCCTTTATTTCTCCCTGGTATGTTCTGGGTGTGTATATATCACTCTATTCACATGCTGGGAATCCAGCCCACCAGGGATGTGCTGGATGCACTGTCCATATTTAATAACAATTCCCTGTTTGCTGGATCAAGCTCCCCTCTCTCTGAATATGCTGAACTTTGCAATGTTCCATGGATGAGCTGGAAACTGGAATTAATTGCTTCATGTGCACTCAGTCAGCTGCATCCAGAACAGTTCAGGTGCCAGGCTGCTTCTTTATTAACCCACCAAACAGGGCCAGGCAACCTCCTGCCTAATTGCTGGTCTGCTCCCTAGGATTGTTTTGATCCCTAGCAATTAGCACCTTCATGGATAAAACCTGTTATGGGAATAGCACGGGCTGGTATCTGTAGTTTGAATTTGGGTGCCCTATTTTAGCAGGGAAGAAGGAATTAGTGTTTGCTTGGTCGTTGTGCCCACAGACCTCCTCCTCCTCTGCGAACTGAACTGTCAAATCCTTGTCAGCTCACAGGGATTAAGCAAAATGCAAATCCCTGCCAGAAATAAAATGTCTGCCACCTTTGTTTATTTATTGGCTTATTTTCACTTTTTTAAGGTGGAAGCTTGGCAAGACTCAGGAGACCTTACATGCAGTGTGGGTATCGTGGGACCTTCTGCCACAAGGGGAAATGCCCTCGTGGCAACTATTACCTGGGGCCGTGTCGTTCTGGGTACAGTTGCTGTAGGTGGTAAGTTTAGGATTTGTCTGGGGCAAATATGACTTCCCAAATTATCATTTGAATCCCAAGATTCAGCAGGATTTTCCTCATAATCATAATTCTGAAAATCCTTTCCTTTGTGTAGGTTGTAGTGCGGCTGACTGTGGAGAATCTCCAGGAGAGCTTTTGACATCGCTGGATCCAAGGAATTGTTGTAGCAGCCACCAAGGATTTGTCATTTTCCTTTCAATAAAAGCAAGATCTGGGGAGGTTGCATGGCTGCCCTGTGTGGTGTTGTCATTCATTTCTCAAGTTTTATTTCCATTAAGAATTTTAAACAAGAATTCTGAAATGAATCTAAACTTGCCAGGAATGTGTAGTTCACCAAAATATTTACGCTTCTTGGGCTGCTGATTGAGTGAGTGCTGGCAAGTTCTCCATACATGCCTGCTAGGGAATTCTCTGTCATGACTGAGATCAATCACCATTTCCACTGGGACCACAAAAATCTTCTCCAGTGAGATGCTTCACAGCACCTCTGCTCTGAAAACTTTGGGTTCCTGTCTGATCCAGAGCTTTCAGACCTGGGAACAACATATTGTTTTATTATGGGATCTAAAGTCACACTGAGCAGGGGACAAATTGGTAATCTGAAATCTGATTTTACACTTGCCATTTCTGTCTGCTATAAATTTGGAGTGAATCTGCAAAATTTATTTCAGCTGCTGTTGCAAATCAGGAGATCAAAGTTAGACCTGTGACATTGCTTGAGGCAATTACAGGAACATGTGTGAGAGGCCAACCCCACTGTGCCTCTGATCACTTTTCTTCTAAGAGATTCAGCCTGTCCTGCCCTGGACCACAACAGAAAACCCAGAAGGTGCAGGCTGCTCAGAGAGCTCCTGTCTCTGCAGCTGCTCCTGCACAGTCAGGAGCATCATTGTACTGTCAAGAAATCCCTGGTGCCCAGAGAAACTGTGGCTGCCCCATCCCTGGAAGTGTCCAAGGCCAGGTTGGACAGGGCTTGAAGCAACCTGGGATAGTGGAGGTATCTCTGTCCATGGCAGGGGTTGGAATGAGATGATCTTTATGGTCCCTTCCAATCCAAACTATTCTGTGATTCTGTGGAGGGAGGAGCAGTAATGGATGATTAAAAGGAAGCAACCAACCCAAATGCAAGGGACTGACTCAAAGCCCTGAGCTGCCCATTTATTGCAAAGCATTTGCCCACCCTCACAGAACCACAGAATTTTTAGAGTTGGAAGGCACCTCTGGAGATCATCCAGTCCAACACCCCTGTCAAGGCAGGGTCACCTGGAGCATGTGACACAGGAACATGTCCAGGTGGGTTTGGAATGTCTCCAGAGAGGAAACTCCACACCCTCCCTGGGCAGCTGTTCAGTGCTCTGCCACCCTCAACATAAAGAAGTTCCTCTTCAAGTAGAGGTGGAATTTCTTGTGTTTCAGTTTTTGGCCATTGCTCCTCATCCTGTGGCTGGGCACCACTGAAGACAGTCGCTCACCATCCTCTGACACCCTTTGGAGATGTTTATATGGATTGTTGAGATCCCCTCTCAGTATTCTCCAGACTGAAGAGGCCCAGCTCCCTCACTCTCAGGCCTGCTCAAAGCAGAAGTTTCTGCAGATGACCCTGCCCCCATTGAAACCACAGCCTTGTGCAGGGCAGGAAGCTGGGCCAACAGCCTCCTCCAAGGGATCTCCCTGGATGGAAACCCGAGGAAGTTGCCAATTGGAGCCAAACCAGCAATTTACAGTTGATGTCCTAAGAGATTTTTGCACAATCCACGCTAGGTGAATGTTTCACAAACTGGAATGGCACAAGATTTTGGCTCAAGGACTGAGGACTTTGCAGGGAGGGTTCAGCCCCTGTAATTTTAGATTAATCTGCCTGTAGCCAGCATCATGCAGAATCCAGTCCCATCATGCTTTTAGAGCTGTCCTTGCCTTTATGGCTGGGGAATGGCTTCATGAGCCAGTTTAGAGTGACACAGGCTGGGATCCATGCTGCACATCTTCTCCCTGCTTCTCATCCCAATCCCATCTCCCCAGCACTCTACAAGTTCAAATCCATAAAATCAGAGAATCATAAAATGGTTTGGGTTGGAAGAGACTTTAAAATCATATAGATCCAACCCCCCCACCATGATCAGGGACACCTTCCACTATCTCAGATTGCTCCAAGCCCCAGCCTGGCCTTGGACACTTCCAGGGATTAAGCTGATGCGTGTGCTAAAGAGCAGCAGCACAGAGATGCAGCTAATTGCCCCTTAATGAAGCCCTGTAAGGAACCTGACAGCTGGACATAACTGCTCCCACTCCCTTGCCTCCTGGGGTTTTGATGCCAAGACAGTTCGGTGGATATTAAAAAAAAAAAAAGGGGCATGGCTTTTTCCCTTTTTCTGGTCGTAGTGTAGGATCAGGATTTCTATCAGTGGTGAAGGAAATAAGAAGCTGTCCTGAGTGCTCTCACTACCATGGCAGAGTAGTAGTGATCCCCCTGGGTACAGATCTGCAAATTGTTTGTACAGTGTTCGTCACTGGGGAGTGACAAAACAATGAATTATGGTGAGTTGTTTGGATCAAAGGCATAGTCATGTATTGCCCAGAGGAACTGTGGCTGTCCCATCCCTGGAAGTGTTCAAAAACAGGTTGGATGGGGCTTGGAGCACCCACTGGAAGGCATCCCTGCCTATGGCATCTGTCTGGAAACTCCTGGTCCCTTCCAAACCAATTCACGGTGTGATTCCACGATTCATGAGACTGCTCAGTGAGCCCACACCAGGCAGGATTGTGTTTTTAACATCCATCCCCACACATGCAACGCTTGGTGAAACTGCAGCAAGGCTGAAAACATTTATGAAAATGCTCCATCAAACAGCAAAGGGTTACACACAGCAAACTCCACCAAACAAAGCCACAATTAAAGCTTGTCCTTCCTAGGGTTGCTGTTTGGATGACGGGGACGTCATCCCAAGTGGCGTCTTCCCAGTTATTTTCAAGCGAAGCATAGAGAGCGCGCTTCCCGCGGGGGGAGGAGGACAGAGCTCCTTTGTGTGGTGAAAGCCGAGTGTTTGCCAAGGCCCAACGCACAGGGATGTGTGTGTGTGTCCCCAGGGGTGTCCAGCAAACCACAGCACCGAGCAGCCCTTACGCAAGGCAGGGTGACACAAGATCCTGGGCTGGAGGCCTGGGAATCCTTCTCAGGTGTCAGATGAGGAAAGCTCTGCTTGTTTGTCGAGGGAAGGAACAGAAAAAGGAGCTTAGGAGCTGGACATTTTGAGGACTCAGCCATCCCAAGGGATATTGTGCCACGTAGAGAGACCAAAGTGCTGCTGCTGGTGCCAGGAAGCTCCGACTCCCGGGCTGCCGAGTGCATCCTCCCACAGTGACCGGTCACATCTCCTCTCCTGGGTTCTGTCCCTTCGCAGGTGCTGCAGGAAGGGACCCTCCCACTCACCCCTGCCTCCTTTCTCTTCTCCCCAGAGCTGCGACTCTGCTGGCGACTCCCAGGCATGCGGATCCTGCCTGTCCTCTGTGCTCTGCTCCTCCTGATGCTCCAGGTAGTGACAGGTAAGAAATGTGGAGGCTTTTTTGTCCTCTGTCGTGGTTTTTAGGGAGGATTTGTCGCCTGAGCTGATGAGGCACGTGTGAGTTTCCTGGTGGCTGTGCCATCCCCACTGGGGCCCCTCTGACCCCACACTTTTAAGGAAAGACTCCAGCTGCAGGTTCTGCTGTTGGGACCAGAGCTGGGGCATTGTATTAAAGCTCTCATCCTTCCAAAACTGGGATTTGACCCCTCTCCATGCCTCCTGGCCCTTGCATTTCTGAGTCAGCAGCGCTGGGCACAGCAGCCCTGCTGGAGAGGAGGAGGAGGAGAAGTGGGGAGGAAGGGAAATCCTGCTTGTACCCTTGGAGTTCTCCCTTGTTCCAGGAAGGAGGCAGCAGGCGATGGTGATGTCTCCCAGAGCCTGCTTAGGGATGTGGTGACTGTCTCCCAGCCAAGTGCCATGAACTCACCTGGATTTCTGCTGCAGGCACCTGCTCAGCAGTTGTGGCTGGGGACAAGCAGGGACCAGGGGCTGTGCTCAGGGACCAGGAGCTGTGCTCAGGGACCAGGGGCTGTGCTCAGGGACCAGGAGCTGTGCTCATCTCCTCTCTCCGTGCCCTGCAGGCCTGGCCCCGGTCCGAGCATCAGCCCAGGACTGCGAGCGCCGCGGGGGATTCTGCTCCCACCGCTCCTGCCCGCCGGGGATCGGCCGCATCGGGCTCTGCTCCGAGCAGGAATTCTGCTGTCGGATGTGAGTTCAGGGCTGCCTGCTGGGGAAAAAACAGGGATTGTGCAGCCCAAGGGTACAGGGACATTGCTGCCCCTCACTGCTGCCCTGGCTGGGACAGGCACTGACAGAACTTTCCTCCCACAGGCGCTGGTATCCCTGATGGGCTCCTGGATCCCCAGCAGGACACCGGCCGTGCCCTCGCTGCCTGGTCCGGACGATGCTGCCCAGAGGCACCAAGTGCTGCCAGGGGCAGCAGCAACCCAGCACAGCCAGACCAGGATCCCACAGGAATCCCACCCCACAGTGTCCCCAATACAAGGTGGTGGTCATCCCCACTGCCGAGATGTGTATCCTGTGTGTGCGTCTATTTTCTGCACGTCGGGAAGGGCCAAGGGGATGGGGTGAATTCCTGACAGACACGGACACACAAACACTGTCCCACCATCCACCCTCTCTCCATGCTGGCCTCAGCCACACCAGCATCACCCCCACAGGTGACACTCACAGGGACCCCAATGCCGGCCTTTTGGCTCAGCAAGGGGACCCCAGCACCTCTTACACAGGGATGGAGGGGTGGCTGTCACCACCCTAATTTCAGTGGGGACCTGCTGGTTGTCCACTGGCTCCCAGGCTGGGTCAGGAGTCCTCGTGGGGCTGTTCCATGGGACACACACTGCCTTGGTGTCCTTGGGTCCAGCCCCAGCTGTGGGGCCTGGGTGTGGGGCACCAGGGGGTGTTGTGGGGTCCAGGAGTATCTGCGGGGTGGGAATAAGTCATTCTGCTCCAGAGGAAATAGGGACTGATGGCTGTGCCATGGGGCTTCTCAGGAGCTTGGGGCTTCTCAGAAGATTGGATTCTCAGTGCTGGGGGGGTTTCAAGGCCTGGGGCTGGGGGCTCAGTTAGGAGCCCAGGTGGGTCATTGTGGATGACTGGTGTGGCAGATCTGGGATGCTCAGCTCAGGGGTGCCATGGGGGTGGCCCCTGCACTGCCATGGGGCAGTGACCATGGGGATGCAGGGACAGGGGACACCCACTGCTTCCCTCCGTGGAGCAGGGCAGCCTCTCCAGGGGTATTGGGCATTGCTGTGGGTACAGAGAATGTCAGATCAGGGTTCCAGCTGTGGGTCCTAGTCTGCCTCTGGATCAGCAATGCCATGCTGCAGCTTTGATGGGGTCAAGCACCAAGATTCCCAGGTCAGAGCAGCTTCCCCGGGCAGGGTTGGCCCCAGCCATGGCCTCCCTGCAGTGGGGATTGTAGAAGTCATTTCCACACCATAACCAGCAATCCCTGGCTGTGCTGGCTCTGGGCTGGTCCTGAGTCTGAGTCCAAACCTCCAGGAGCGAGGATATTCCAAGGACCCAGCAATGGACATCCAATCCTACTTCTACAGATTGATGCTCAAGGAATGTCCCAGTCACGCATCAAGGCCAGGTTGGATGGGGCTTGGAGCATCCTGGAAGAGTGGAAGGAGTCCCTGCCTATGGCAGAGCTTGGAATAAGATGAATTCTAAAGTTCCCAACCCAAATCATTCCATGATTCCATGCATCTCTCTGAGAGACGACACCAGACCCTGTGTCCCTGATGTATCCAGCCTCAATTCCCATTCTCCTCTGCAGGATCCACCTCCAAGAGCTTTGGTCTCTCTGAGCAATGGACCAGCACTCTGGAGACACAGCACAGACAAACTGTACAAAAAAGGGTTACAAATAAAGTCTGCTAGGCATGATGTAGGGCATGACCAGCAGCCATGGATATATTTCTTCTTTTTCTCTCATGATCTTTGCTCCACGAGCCACCTCGATCTTTATCGTTCTGAAATACCACAGAATTCCTATAAATCCAAAAACTCTCCTGATCAAGTCCACACCTCTAAGGCCTGATAAGGCCCTGTTCACCTTCCTTCACTAATCTCCCATAGATTGCACATTGTTATGCACTGTTTTGCTGCTGTTGAACCACATTTGTGGATTTTGTACCAAGTAGGGCAGTTTCAGAAGCAGTGGATTCAGACAGAATGAGGTGAGGTATGGTCTCCCTAGACTGCATTTCTTCTTTGCACTGCTTAAATATTTGAATAGGCATCAGAAAGGCATCTTTAGGCTTATCACTTCCTGGCAGGTGGAATGCAAGTCACCTTGGCAAGGGTGAAGCTGTTCTTGTGATGCTAAAAGAGAAGAAAACCAAATTTTTTAATATTTCTTCGTGCCACACAGCACCAGCTCCCTAAGCAAACTGACAGGACAGGAAGAGACAGATAGTTTATCAAAGAATCTCAGAATGGTTATAAGAAGAAGGGGCTTTTAAGGTCATCCAGTTCCAACCTCCACCATAATCAGGGACACCTTCCATTATCCCAGGTAGCTCCAAGCCCCATCCAACCTGGCCTTGGACACTTCCAGAGATGAGGCAGCAACCTCTGGGCAACCTGTGTCAGGGCCTCACTACACTCATAGGAGAAATTGGTTGGGACCGGTTCCCACTTCTGCCTGCACCCACCAGCCTGTTTTGTCCATCCCAGGCAGTTCATGCCATGCCACCACAGCCTGGGTGCCGCTGTGCCACGGGTGTCACAAGAGGTGTTACATGAGGACAACGGTGACATTGATTGCAACAGCCCCAGGAGGCACCTCAGCCTCTGCTGTTGCGTCAGAGAGGGATAAGGAGAAGCCCCAGCATCCCCACATGGATGGGTGGCTTTCTGATTGGCCAAGGGAAAATGTGTCAGCAAAAATCAGTGAATGTCCCCATGGCTTGCAACAATATAAAATCTGAGTGTTTTGGCCAAAAAAGTGCTCCTTGAACCCAAGGGCTGCTGGACACAGTGATTCTTGTTGGGTTTGTTGCTGCCTGAACACCCAGACTGTCATCAGGTAGGTGTCTGTGGGGTCTCCTGGAGAAGGATCAAATGAGGTAATGGATTTCCCAGACACTGCAACATCATTAAATGCTCCTGAGGTAGGCAGGGTGGCACAAACCATGAAATTGTTTTTAAGAGGAAAGTAGAGGAGACATAATCTCCTGTGGCTGGAAACAGCCCCTCTGCAGTTTGGTGAACCACAGAGCCCAGGCTCCTGCCCCACCTGGGGTCCTGCATGTCCACATTCCCTTGGTGTTCCCTCTGCAGCCCTGTGAAGACCCAGGAGAGGCAGCATCCATGAAGATCCTGTTCCTGCTCTTCCCTCTGCTCCTCCTGCTGGTCCAGGGTGCTTCAGGTGAGAGGCAAAGGGGGGAGATGGGGAGAGATGTGATCCTCCACTACTGGGGTTTTCCATGTCCTGGGAAGTGACCACTTTAGTGGGAGTGATGCAAAGGTAAGGGGGGGATTGAGGAGAAAGGTGTTTCTCCAGTGAAAGTTCTATAGGACACAGAGTTGGGGTGGAAAAAGCCCATGGAAATAGAATACTGGCTTCTTTGGTGGGTCAGGAAGGAGTCTTGGTTTCAGGCTTCCACCCTGCACCCAGCTGTTCCTCTTTAGGTGTCTCTGAATGTTCTTTTGCCCTGTGTGTGGTCTTTGCTGTGGGGAGGTTGGAGCTGAATCCATCCACTGGCCAGAAATGCACAAACACCATCAGTCTTTTGCAACCACACACTGCTCTCACAGATGATTGCTTTAATTGTTCTGTATGTTTATTTCCCCATGGAAACTCGAAATGCAGCTGGATGCAGGCAAAGAGGGGGATACTGCACTTATGGGAGATGCAACTTCCCTGCGAGACCCATTGGAAGATGCACACTGTACAGTGTGTGCTGCAGGAGATAAGGTCTGGAATCCTGCCTGAGGACAGAGTTCCTCTTTTGTCCAAAATTAAATATGTAGCAAATTTATTTCCTCTGAATGTCTCCTACATAATCTCCTTATCTATTCCTCGTGGGAGGGATGCCCAAGAAGGGAGGGAAAAGCCCTTGTGGGTTTTGGAGATGTCCTGACAGTGGAGTTGCAGCAGCCCCAGGTCAGCCAGGGCCTCCCCACTCTCCTCCAGTCCCAGGTTGGCTCATTCAGGCTCTGCAGAAGAGCCACCAAAGCCACAAAAGAGGAAAAAATTCCCTATCCTTGGGCTGCACTGAAGACATGATCCAGGACTTGCTGCATCTGCACAGACCTGGAGCCAGGGCTGCCAGCACTGAGATACCCCAGGCCCAAGCTGTCTGCACTAAGGACTGTACCTCAGCTCCCCTGAGCCTGACTGCTGCACTCACCCTGGGCATTGCAGGGCAGGGGAGAGAGTGGCAGGGAATGTCACACCTGGTGATGTGATTGTCTGTTTTATTCTTGCAGTGTCTGGGGTTAAGACCCTGAAATTCCCAAGCAGGACATGCCCCTCGCTTCTGGCTGCTGGACCCATGTGCTGATGTCCCCATGTGCTGATGTCCCCTGCCGTGGCTGCCTGTGCCGTGCCCAGCTGGGCTGACAGCAGCAGTGGCAGCTGCTCCTGCTGGCTGCTGCTGGGCTGGAGCCCTGTGGTGCCAGCCCCGCTGTCTTTGGGGCAGGGGCTGCTTTTCCCGGCTTGAATAAAGACGAGCACTTTGGCATTGCAGGGCTGGGCCGTGTGTGCGTGTCCTGCTGCTGGAGGGCTGCTGTGCCTCTGCCTCTGGGGCTGGCCCTGCCTTGGTGGCAGCAGAAGGCCCTGGGCATGGTGCTGGGGCTGAGCAGCGCGTGTGTCCCTGGGGTTGCTCCTGCCTGGCCGTGCTTTGGGGACGCTGAGCCCGGCAGTGCCTGCTGGGCCAGCCTGGCTGGGGTGCCTGTGGTGGAGCTGACTGCAGATGCATCCTCTGGGGTGCAGGTTCCTCATCCTGGTGTTTATAGGCACAGGTACCATTCTTTTCTCTGGACCCTACTCCCCTGCCATGAAGGACATGGACTGGGAACTGTGGACATAGTGGCAAAGCCTCCTCCCTAAAACATCCTCAGCTTTGTTACACAGTCCCAGCTCCAGTCCCAGCTGCAAAAGCTGCAGCAGGAGCCATTCCTTAAAGGGATGTGCTCTGGGGGATGCCATGGAGGACAGCCTAGAAATACAGAGAGCTCAGAGGTGATTCTTGAGCTTGACAGGGAGAAAATAATTGCATGAACCAAAAGGTTTGCTTTGCCTTTCGTCTGCATGATGTCATACTCACTATCCACACTACCGTTTCTCTGCAGCATCACATAAATCCTCCCATCTTTCTGTACATTCAAATCAAATTATGATCATTTTTCCTGCTACTGCTTGCAGCATCAGGAGTGGAAGAGCACAGAGGCCAGGCTGGAGGTACCGGTAGCCCAAAAGTTCCTTTTCCTATTTCTCCCTCTGCAGCACAGAAAGTGAGGCTTTGGTTTCCTCTTCTGATGCCTCTGACAAGGACTCCCA